TGAGATTTTTTCTATCATGAATGGGTGTTGGACTTTGTCAAATGCCTTTTCTGCATCAATTGTTAGGATCATGTGGTTCTTGCCTTTTGTTTTATTTATGTGATGGATCACATTGATTGTTTTTCTCATATTGAACCATCCCTGCATACCTGGTATGAATCCCACTTGGTCATGATGAATTATTTTTTTGTTTTTTTTTTGATTCTATTGGGTAGAATTTTGTTGAGGATTTTTGCATCTATGTTCATGAGGGATGTGGTCAATAATTTTCTTTTTTTTTGTGGTGTCTTTATCTATTTATGGTATCAGGGTTATGATGGCTTCATAGAAAGACTTTGGGAGTATTCCATACTTTTCTATACTCTGAAATACCTTTAGTAGTAGTGGTGTTAACTCCTCTCTGGAAGTTTGGTAGAATTCTCCAGTAAGCCATCCGGGCCAGGGCTTTTTTTTTGTTGGGAGTTTTTTAATTACCTTTTAATCTCTTCTTCTGTTATAGGTTTATTTAGTTGTTCTACCTCTGTTTGTGTTAGTATAGGTAGGTAGTTCATTTCTAGAAATTTGTCCATTTCCTCTAGGTTTTCAAATTTGTTGGAGTACAGTTTTTCATAGTATTCTGTTATGATTTTTTTAATTTCAGTTGGGTCTGTTGGGATATCACCCATCTCATTTCTTATACGGGTTATCTGCTTTTTCTCCTGTTTTTATTTTGTCAGTTTGGCCAATGGTTTATCAGCTTTGTTGATCATTGCAAAGAAACAGCTTTTGGTCTTGTTAACGCTTTCAATTGTTTTTCTATTCTCTATTTCATTTAATTCTGCTCTAATTTTTATTATTTCCTTTCTTCTGGCGCCCAAGGGCTTCTTTTGCTGTTCTTTTTCTACTTGTTCCAGTTGTAGGGTTAATGTTTTGATTTTGGTCCTTTCTTCTTTTTGGACATGTGCATATAAACTGACCTCTGAGCACAGATTTTGCTGTGTCCGAAAGGTTCTGGTAGGATGTGTTTTCATTCTCCTTTGATTCTGTGAATTTCTTTATTCCATCCTTAATTTCTTCTATAACCCACTAGTTTTTGGGCAAGCTGTTGTTCAGTTTTCATGTATTTTTTTTTAATTGATTTTTTTCCCTTGCTTTTCCTGTTATTGATTTCTACCTTTATGGCTTTATGGTCAGAGAAGATGCTTTGTAATATTTTGATGGTTTGGATTCTGTTAAGGCTTGCTTTATGGCTTAATATGTGGTCTATTCTGGAGAATGTTCCATGTGCGTTGGAAAAGAAAGTATATTTGGCTGCTGTTGGGTAGAGTGTTCTGTATACATCTATGAGATCAAGTTGGTTGACTGTTGCATTTAGATCTTCCGTGTCTTTATTGAGCTTCTTTCTGGATGTTCTGTCCTTCACCGAAAGTAGTGTGTTGAAGTCTCCTATTATTGTGGAGCTGTCTAGCTCTCTTTTCAATGCTGTTAGAGTTTGTTTTATGTATTTTGGAACCCGTCGTTGGGTGCATAAATATTTATTATAGTTATGTCCTCCTGGTGTATTGACCGTTTAAACATTATATAGTGTCTTTCCTTATCCTTTGTGGTAGATTAGATGCTTGTACTTATCTTTCGCAGCTTGAGCACGGTTTCTCACTGGTTCTGGAGGTTTGAACTGACTCTCCACTGCTTGGTCTCTCCCAGTGTGGAAAACATGTCCCGAGCGCCACTGCTTGCCTCACTGCTCATGCCAGCCAACCCAGCCTGCAAGGTGCTGGTTTCTGCAGGGTCAGGTCTGGCAACTCCTCACTGCTTCTGAACCATCTCTCCCTCCCCCTGCCACTTAATCCGATTCCTCAACTTTGTCTTTGATGTTCAGGACCCCTAGATTGTCATATATAATTGATTCACTTGTTTTTTGGGGTCTTTGTTGTAAGAGGGACCACAGGAAGTGTCTGACTACTCCACCATCTTGGCCCTGCGCCCCTACTGTGCTCTTTTTTTATCTGACTGCTTTTACCCTGCATAATTATTTTGAGAATCATCCATGTTGTTGAATGTATCATTGCGTATTTATTCCTTTTTATTGCTGACTAGTATTTCATAAAGAACAGTGAACCAATTCATCTACTTAATGAACCAATCAGAAAATATTAATTGAGTGCTCATAATGCTTCAAGAACTGTTCTAGGCATTAGGTACAGTGGTAAAGGAAATAGTTTCTGCCCCCCTAGGGCTTCTGTTTGTGTGTGTGTGTGTGTGTGTGTGTAAGTGTGTCTGTGAGAGAGAATATGAATGTGAAGGTATGTAAATAGGCTATAAATGCATAAACAAATACTTCCCTTTAGAATTATGATAAGTGCTATGAAGACAATAAAACAGGGTAGTAGGATAGAGAATAATTATAGATGCAGAGTTTGAGAAGGCCTAGAAGGAGGATGTTACATAAAGATGTGAGGCAAGATCTATCCAGGCAGTGGGAGCAGCAAGAGCAAAAGCCTTGAGGCAGGAAAAAATTTTATATACTCTGTGCTAAGTGGGGTTGATGGGCTGTAGAAGTGTGCGTGTGTGGTGGTGGGAGGCTGGACAAGGTCAGAAAGGAAGTGGGGCCAGGGCAAGGAGGGACTGTGGACCATTGTAAGGAGTTCCCAATGGCAAAGAAAAGCCAGGGGAGGGTTTAAGCAGGAAAGAGACCTGCTTGTGTGGAATGAATTGAAGGAGGCTAAGAGTGGAAACAGTGATACCAGTCAGGAGGCTAAGGTACTAGTCTAGGGGAGGGATGCAGAGGCTTGGACTAGGGTTGCAGTGGGTAGGGGTGAGGGAATAATGAGAAGTGAATGGATTTGAGATATATTTTAGAGGTGGAATTGACAGGTGTTGGGATGGTTTAGATGCAAGGTGGGGAGCAGCTGAAGAGGAGAAAGGAATCAAGGTCATTCCTAAAGTAGGCTGAATAATGGCCACCAAAGATTTCACGTCCTAATCCCTGAAACCAGAAACTGTTACCTTATAAGGAAAAGGGTCTTTGTAAAAGTGATTAAATTAAGGATATCTACAGGAAGATTATCCTGGATTTTCTGGACAGGCCCTAAATCCAATCACAAGTGTCCTTAATAAAAGAGAGGCAGAGGGAGATTTGACATACATAAAGAGGAGGTGGCAGTGTGACCACGGAAGAAGAGATTGGAATAATGCTACCACAAGTCAAGGAATGCTGGAAGCCAAAGAAGTTGAAGAGGAAAGGACAGATTACCCCCTAGAGCCTCTGGAGGGAGCGTGATGCTCCCAATACCTTGATTTCAGTTCAGTAAAATGTATTTCAGACTTCTGGCCTCTAAAACTGTGAGAGAATAAATTTATGTTGTTTTAAACCACCCAGTTTGTGGTGACATGTTATAGTAGCCACAGGAAACTAATATAACTCCCAAGTTTCTGTGTGGTACACTGATTAATTCAATAAGTATTTCTTGGGTACCCTGCTCCAGGCACTGTGCTGGGTGCTGAGGGCAATGCCACTTACCCTTAGCTGACATCCTCCCACATTCTCATCACCAACACTCCTCACCTCCACCACCTCTGCCACCCTGGCCCAAGCCACAACATCTCTGTTCTGGATGACTGCAGCGGCTTCCTAACTTGTCTCCCTGCTTCTGCCCTTGCCCCTGCAGTTCCCAAAAGAGTAGCATAAGGTGGATCATAAGTCACCACTCTGCTTAACTACTGCCAACAGCTCCCCATCCCACTCTGATTAAAAGTTGAAACCTTTACAATGGCCTACAAGGCTCTTCAGATCTTCCTCCTTCCCACACCCACTATCTTCTCTCAGTTTCTAAAAATGAAGTGCATCCTTTAAGTCAATTCCGAAAGAAAAGTTACTCCTCTCAAAAAAAAAAAAAAAAAAAAAAATCCTTTTGAAATAAAAACATTTAGTCTCTAAAAGGAATAACACAGTTTGGTTATCTAAGTTCTAGTTTATTTGCTTAAAAATCAGTCTCTTTCCTTGAAACAGTGGGATAAGGGCTTTGATGGAAAGCCCCCTAGCCATTTCATAAAATATCACCATCATTACTATCATCAAAGACAGAGGTTACATGAACATCATTTTCCACAAAATGGTCTTTCAGAGGTGGGTTGAGTGGACATACTGGCATGGAGGGGCACAGCAAATGCTTGTGAGCTGAATTCTTGGAATATCTAAAATTTGACCATTTTGCTGATAGAAAGTTGAAGAAAAAATGGAACATGAATTTCAGATTATGGTCCCAGCTTCATCATTGTGTGATACTGAACTTATAATCACAGACATGACTGCTCCCTCTTCCATACAATGTGTAGAAAGTCCATTCAATTCTATTTTATTTATAATTGCATTTGCTGCTTTACTGTTTTGCCTAAAATAAGCCTCCAATGAGAAGTTCTATCAACTCTAGAGAACAAGAGGTACCAGATGTAAAAATAGGCAAGAAACAGAGTCCACAGAAAATTTAATTAAAATCTTACCATGATGTGCAGATAAATATAGCCCATGAGCTAGAGTTTGAAAAATACTATTCTAATAAAAGTAATGCCTTGTAGACTTACAACACTCTACGGTCACAAAAGGCCTTTCAAATAATCATATAACGCCATGGTTAAAGCTCTTGACCGCTAACTGAAAGGTTGGCGTTTCAAACCCACCAGTGGCTCTGCAGGAGAAAGTTGTGGCAGTCTGCTTCCCTAAAGATTACAGCTGTGGAAACCCGGGCAGCTCTACTCTGTCCAATAGGGTCGCTATGAGTTGGAATCAACTCAGCAGCAGTGGGTTTTGGTCCAAGTCCATTTCTCAGTTTGAAATTCTCTTTTCCACTCTTACTTTTTATTCTTTCTTTAAATTTTTTCACTTTATATTCTAAATGACATGGTGTAATTTTATCCATGTGCATTTACGATTGATCACTTTAATTGTAGTATTCTTGCTTCCTTATTTCATGTTAAAATATTACTAAACTAGGGACATAAATTCTAAATTATATTTCACTTACCCATGCTCTCCATAGATACAGGCACCTGTTCTTCATTATCTAGAATATAATAAAATGATTTACAATACATTTTAGAATCAAATATGTATCTCAGCTTATTGCAATCTTTTACCAATTCTCAAAACATAAATGCAAATATACACAATGAAGATTTAAATGATTTTATTAACAATTAAATAGAGAAAATCTGAATAATTTTTTCTCACAGAATTATCTCTTATCAATATATTTGCTATGACATTCATTATATGCCATTTAATTGATACTGTTATGAAATTGAATAGAAAAAGTGAATCTCATATACTTAATTCAGCATGTGTTTTAATTTACAACAACAAAGATATTTAATTTTACTTGATATATAAAACCATGATCATTTTGGCTGCTAATATATGTACAAATACTAAATCCATAAAACTTTCATTAAATTAAAAATCATTCCTACCAGATGGCACTTGTTTCTTTTTGCCAGGTGCTCCCTTTTTTCGGCCACCCTTTGGGCTTTTTGGTTTTTGAGGTTTTGGAGCCATGGTTCAGACTTGGGCTGCATAAAGAGGATATCATTAGTAAATTCTGGTTTACAATTTCAAGTATTTAGCATTATTATTTAGTAAACATAAGAATATGTTTTCGAAGTTTTACCTTTGGCTAAATCAACATGTATCTTCACAGAATGAGTGTGCTGCAACCAAAGATATATTGAAACAAAAATCTTACTGATAAAATCACGCTGTTCCAGCGGAGCCATTCAGCTGAAACATGCGGCTGTGACCTGCCAGAACTTCCAGGTCTCAGCCTCAGGCCTTGCCATGGAAGCATGACAGAAAACACTGGCTTTGCTGCCTCCCTCAAAGCAGTTTTCTTCCCAGGTAGTTGCTCTGCGCTGTTCAGGGCCAGATTAGAGCCTGTGAGGCCTTAAACACTCATAATCTGTAGTGCCCCCTCCTATGTTTACTCATGCATTCAAACAGGATATATGTGAATTTTATATACATGTGTGTGTCTTAGCTATCCATGATGTAACTTCTTTTTAAGTATGACTGTAATATTACCGATTGAATACAAAAGTGACGTGTGCCATTTCAGAGGAATGAGATGAGATACATTATAAAATTTTTAGTGGAAGCGGGGTGCTAAGATTTTTACTGTATACCACATTTTCTACAAAAAGCCCTGCCAGTTCACTTCCACTGCTGCATTTGCTTTTTCTTGTGTCCTGTTTGCTTGGCATCTGTGGGTCTTCACTTTGGACAACTGGTGCCCTTGTTTTGTTGATGCCTTAAGCATGTGCTTACCTTGCTTATTGGGTAACCATCCCTGGCACTGCCATGTGCTGGGTCTCCCATAGGTGCCCATGCCCACTGGGAGAAACAGGTCCACAATGTGCAAAACAGCAGTTGCTGTCCAGTTGATTGAAACTTATGGCGACCCCATGTGTGTCAGAGTAAAACTGTGTTTCATAGAATTTCCAGTGGTTCATTTTTTGGAAGTAGATCTCCAGGCCTTTCGTCCGAGGCACTTCTGGGTGGACTCGAACCTCCAACCTTTCAGTTAGCAGCCGAGTGTGCTGACCGTTTGCACCACTCAGGGATCCCCCACAATGTGCAGACATAAATATAGAATTTTTAAATTAACATCATGTAAATAGTACTTTAGTCCTAGGATGTGTACATGTAACTGTTGTGGCCTTATTTGTGCTGTCAGAGGTTGCCTCCAAAAATTTCTATGGAATTCTTCATGAATTTTGGCAGGATATAACACTGGACAAGGTCATCATGACATCAAATCCTTGCAATCTCCTCAATGCCCACCTTTGCCCCATCCTTGTTAAACAGGAGTGTGATTTCAGGAGTCTAACTAGCAGGTTTGAAATAGGCTCTACCTTTTACCAGTTGTGCGACCCTCAGTAAATTACTTATCCTCCCTAGGAGAATGCTCCTTAGAAGCAAGGATGGCGAGACTTCGTATCACATAGTTTAGACATGTTATCAGGAGGGATTGGTCCCTGGAGAAGGACATCGTGCTTAGTAAAGTGGAGGGTCAGCGAAAAAGAAGAAGACCCTCAATGAGACGGATTGACACAGTGGCTGCAACAATGGGCTCAAGCATAACAACGATTGTAAGGATGGCACGAGACAGGGCAGTGTTTCGTTCTGTTGTATGTAGGGCCACTATGGGTTGGGACTGACTCAACCGGCACCTAGCAACAACAGGCCTCAATTTATTCATCATCAGGCACAGTGATAAAACCTACCTCACAAGGTGTCATGAAGATTTAATGAGACAATGTTTCATCATCATCATCATTATTATCATCATCACCATCATTATTATCATCATCATCATCATCATTATCATCATCATCATCATCATTATCATCATCATCAACTCTGTCACTACAGATTGGTTTGCCTCATTTTAATAAACCAAAACAGATTGAACATTATTTCATAGTCCACAGTCAAAAATATTTTATTTTATACCTAGTCCCCTGATCACAAAATACTGACCAAAGTGTGGGCGTGTCTATGTGTTTATGTACGTATATTTTTTCCTTCAGATTTTTCACACATATTTTTTCAAACAGTACTAATGAGAGCTCACATTTGCTGAGCACTTTTTCCACGTGCCGGAAACAGTTCTAAGCACTTTACATATATTTTTAAAAATTTAATCTTCAGCACCCTTTTCGGTAGGTATTTTATTATCTTCACCCATTTAATGCTGAGAAAATGGAGGCACTGAGAGGTCAGGTAACTTGTGTAAGGTGATGCACACAGTGAGCCGTAGAGTCAGGGCTTGAGCCTGAGCTGGCAGGCTCCAGGGTCCACACCATTAACTACTGGACTAGACTCTCAATTGTGTTTTAATGATGACTATTTACTATTTTTCATTGAGGAGCCCTGGTGGCACAGTGGTTAAGAGCTTGGCTGCTAACCAAACAGTCAGCAGTTGGAATCCATCAGCCGCTCCTTGGAAACCCTACGGGGCAGTTCTACTCTGTCCTATAGGGTCACTGTGAGTCAGAACCAACTCGATGGCACATAACAACAACATTAAAAATGAAGTTATTTAAAATCATCATCTTTACCTAGGAAGGCATGATTTTATGATTTAATGAACATTTATGATTCTGACAATTTAGTAGTTTCTACAACACAGCCCCTCCCCCGTTGCCCTTGAGTTGATTCAGACTCATGGCAACCCTGCGTGTTAACAGAGTAGAACCACTCCATAGGGTTTTCTTGCCTGTAACCTTTATGGAAGCAGATTACCAGGCTTTGCTTTCACAGTACTACTAGGTGGGTTTGAACCGCCAACCTTTAGGTTAGTAGTCGAGCGCAAATTGTGTGCGCCACCCAGGGACCTTCAGCAATTTCTAATTTTTACATATTCTGTGGTGAATGGCTTTGATACAACTTTTTAGCCTGCCAAGTGTCCTCCAGCCCACTTTCTAGCCTTAGCATAATTTCAAATCTTGGACCTAGTCCTTTTTTCAGAAGATTCCTCATCAATGTACCCCCTCCATATTCTATTCCAGCGGCATTTGACTTAAAATGGTCAACAACATTGTATCACTGTGAGCTTCTCTTCTAATTTTAAGGACACTTGTGATTACATTAGGCCCACCTAGATAGTCAAGGATAATCTCTATATTTTAAGGTCAGCTGATTAGGTACCTTAATTCCGTCTGCAACCTTAATTCCCTTCTGCCATGCACTTTAACACAGTCACAGGTTCCAGGGATTAGGAGGTGCTGCGTTAGTTTAAGCGTGAATACAGGCATCAGTTAAGCATAGTAATCCCAAGAAATAGTCAAAGTAAACCCAGGCGACCGCTTTTTTGCAAATGCTGCTATTGAGTGATCTGTAAGATTTGGTCAGTTTCCAATTTTCAGGGGGAAACAAAGTCCGTTTTCCAGGAGCACATACGGTGACAAAATTGGAACACACAAAATGTGTGCTGCTTTACCAGAACAGCTCATTTACTGCTTTCACAAATATTAATTAAATCCTGTGTCTAAAATATTGACTAGTGACCAAGGAAAAAGGAAAACCAGGTTGATCTACAGGCTTTTAGAGGTTCTAAGCCTTCTTAAGGAGCGCTGGTGGCACAATGGTTAACAGCTCAGCTGCTAACCAAAAGGTCAGCAGTTCAAACCCACCAGTAGCTCCATGGGAGAAAAGGCCTCGTGATCTGGTCCCATAAAGATACAGTCTTGGAAACCCTATGGAGCAGTTCTACTCTGTCCTATAGGGTCTCAAGGAATTGGAATTGACTGGATGCCACACAACAATAACAACAAAGCCTTCTTAATTAAAAGGCACAGTAACTAAGCTCCTAGCCATCATAGATGGAAAAATTCATTAGCTGAAGTCAGCCTGGTGAACTTAGTTTAAACTGAAAAGAAAATGATTAATTTGGAGGTAAGCACTTTACATTATATTTGTGTTTCAGGCAACATTTTACAGTTTAATAATTGCAAATAATAAGAATCCTACCAATACTATGTCTGTTAAATATATCACTCCTAAATGGAGATATCTAAATTAAATGAATAATGTAGTCTGCATAATTTCAATAAACACACTTATTTAGCCAAGCTTTATTTTTCATGCAGATTTTCCTTTTAAAAACAAATCCCAAGTAAAAGATACTGTTTTTAAATGATAGCAGGGCTTTACTGAAACTTTTTTCCATAAAATTAATTACATATTTCATATAGTGAATATACTATATTTATATTTTCCAAATCTTAAATGTTTTTTTTCTCATTGAATTGACCATTAAAAGATCCTGAAAATGTATCTCAGGGTGGCATAGGTGAGAGAATGATAAATACAGAATAATGCAACCTGCCAACAATTTAAGCATTATTACTCTGAATATGTTAGATGACTATCCAGTGGACTAGGTGATTTCATAAACAAGCATTTTGCATTCTGCTGAAATCTTAGCTTTTTAAAATATAAATAAAAATACTTCGTTGTTGTTGTTAGGTGCCATCGGGTCAGTTTTGACTCATGTACAACCTATGTACAACATAGCGACCCTATGTACAACAGAACAAAACACTGCCTGGTCCCGCACCATCCTCACAATACTTACTATATCTGAGCCCATCGTTGCAGTCACAGTGTCATTTCATCTCGTCGAGGGCCTTCTTCTTTTTCGATGACCCTCTACTTTACCAGGAGCCCTAGTGACATAGTGGTTAAGCGTTTGGCTGCTAACCACAAGGTTGGCAGTTCAAATCCACAAGTCGCTGCTTGGAAACCCTATGGGGCAGTTCTCCTCTGTCCTATAGGGTCGCTGTGAGTTGGAATCAACTTAACGGCAATGGGTTTGGTTTGGTTTTCTACTTTACCAAGCATGATGTCCTTCTCCAGGGACTGGTCTCTCCTGATAACATGTCCACAGTACATGAGACAAAGTCTCACCACTCTCCTTTCTAAGGAGCATTCTGGCTGTACTTCTTCCAAGACAATT